GATTCCTTTTGATGGGTTAGCTTTTGTTTAGTCAGAATGTGTGGAAAACCCTTTAAACTGGTCATCAGCCCCATTTTTTCAGAAAAGGGGGTTATGATTTGAAGTTTGATTACACAAATAGTAAAATGAAAACAATAATTTAATAGCAGAACATTTCTCCATAGACAGGCAAAATTGATATCATCGATGCCCACAGATATAAACAGATACTTCCATGTGTACCAAAAATATGATATGGTGATCAAAATGTACAAGACTGTAATTTCTCTAATGAAAGATATACTGACTTTTGTGAGAGTTAGTGGGTGGTGAATATAAGTAATGAATATAATACATTATTTATATAGTAATATATAATATAAATATTAATTTCCTTGTAAATTAATTTGTCAGAAATTGTTTTTTTTATTTAATTTGTATTGAAGATATTTTTGAAACTGACCAGTTGCTTGTCCAGTTTTTTTTTTATTATTTTCTAAAATGCCTAAAGAGATTCACTCTGACTCCAAGATAAATGATGTAAGCAAAATTGTTACATTGTGTGCTGTCAAAATGTTTTTCTATCTGATATTAGCAAAGTGTTTTCTAAACTTGATATATATTCAGAGGAAAATGTGTTTGTGCATGAAAAGAGTTCCTAAGAAAAGGTGGATTGTCTTTTTATTTGTATCAAAAACATGAGATTTTTCTTGGTATTTAAAAAGATAATTCATGGAGAATAGAATACACTTACCTCTCCAGATTTTAGATGCCCATTTTGCTTATTCTCTGTTTTTCCTAAAGATGGACGTTTTTGTCCTGAGGGGGTTAAGAATATTGACAACAAGAGTTACTGACTGAGTAGACAGTCAGGTTGTTGACATGCAGCAGAGTACTCCAGGTACCTAACAGTCTAAGCAGTCATACATGTTTGTGGGTTACATGATACATATTTGATATGATATATTTGTTTCACTCAGGGCTGATCTACTGAGTTTTGCACAAGCAGTCAAAATTTTATAGAGGAAAGGGAAGGATGTGGGCGCTTGTTTGTAGGCCACATGAGCTTTGCTTGCTTCACATCTTTACATATTGGGAAATTGATGCAACACTGCTTTGTTCTGTTGGCTTACGATATATATGAAGAGATAATGAGATTGTGTTCTGTTCTGATTGAAGGGGATGATGACATCGATATGAAATAGCTGTGGTCTTCACATGGCTTCTGTGCGTGATCTACACAGATACATCTTTGTCTAATGGGTCATTTGACCTGCACCAGTTTAAGCTGATTGAATCACAGTGAAATAAGCATGTAGCACATTGCCAGCTAGATACACTAGGTAGGCTAGTCGGTTTCCTTTTTCTTCTTAACAATGCCTGAGAAATGATTGAAACTAGAGGCGACTTCTATAGAAAAAAAACAAATGGCCAAGCGGACACAGTCTTCAGTATCACTTTGTGCACAACATCAGTGATCATAAGAAACATACAGAGAAAATAGATTCTTAGTGACATTTATGCAAATGAGACTGTGGCATGTGAGTCTGCACCCAGCATGACGAGAGGGGAATTCACCATCACTTGGCTGCTCTACTGCTGCTGCTGCTGCTGCTGCTACCATTAGCATTAGCATTGTTCACACATCCCCTCATCTTAGGCCGCTTCCACACCCCTCCTTCTCATCCTCTCTACCCCAACTCCTGACCGTGTCTCCACCCTCCCAGTACCACCACCCCCACCCTCGTCTCTGCCTGCCTCTGCGTCCTCTCTTTCCTGTTCTCGCTGCAGTGTTGCTATAGCAACGGAGAAATGTGGGAATACCTCCGTCCTTCAGAGAGGGGGATGGAGGAGGGGTAGGGGGGAGATAGAGGCGAAGAGGAAGAGGATGGGAGAGAGACGGAGAGTTAAGCGGCAGACAGAAGAAGAGACAAGAGCAGAGGAGTGGAGGGAAGACTGTTAATTAAAAGACAGACAGAGAGGGGCTGCGACTCACTGAATGGACACCATTGCCTGTCACTGAGACTCCTGACTCACTTAGTGACTCCAACCGTTTGTCCATCTCCTCTGGCCCCTAAAAGCAAACACCCCCCCCCACACACACCACACACACACCACACACACTACCACCACCCTCCCATTGATATTCAGTCTCTGCGATGAAGAAGATGCCACTGTTATCAGGCTGCAGAGGGGTGTGAGTGTCTGTGTGGGTGGGGGTGGGTTCGACTCAGATGGCATAGTGTCGCACAGCCATGGCGTAGCTTCACGCTGAGCCTTACGCACGCCATTTGTTTGACGATCCATGTGTTCTGGATGTCTCCATTTGTAGTGAGGCTGCAGTTTCCATGACAACGCCCAGACTAAAATAGCACCCCCTTCCTCCCCCCAACCCCCACCACCAGCTCTTCTCTCATACACTCATAACTGTTCACTCCTGATCTTGAGGCTCGTTCTAGATGTCCCATACTGCTCGTCTCCATTCATCATATGGACTGAAGCACTAATACCGCCAACACCATCATCAGCTCCACACACACAAGTGCGTACACACGCACACATACACACACACATACACACACACACACACACATGCATGCGCACGCATACACGCCACTCATCACATCTCCTCCCACCTCTTATCTCCCATTTTCAGTCTCTCGGTCGCCCTGCAACAGATTCTGTCAACACGCATCAGCCTCTGCGTTGCCATGGCGACGGTCTTGAAAATCGCTGCAATTATTTCAACAAAGACAAAAAAACGAAAGAAAAGAAGAAAAAAAAAGGGAAAAACCACACTATAGCCACTCGGGGGAGGGAAACTGATCGAGTGAGAGATGTCTGCCTGTGTGTATGTGTTGGTGCTTTATGTTTATGAGAGCAACAGAGGGAGAGAGTGTGTGCGTGTACATGCATGTTTTGCGACCCTTCAATGAACCAGTGTGTGAATTTTAGCATTTTTCAAACAAATATGCAAATGTGGTGATGTGATTTTACATTATATATGAGTTTCTTTTGGCCCCATATTGTAAAAAGCATTTATTATCCTCCACTAAAAACCCTAAATGGATATGCAAATATATGTATATGTTACTGTGAGATGAGCGCAGGTGGACTCGCTGACCCATTTTTAAAGGGGTGCTTTTCAAAGCCAAGCTGTACCAAAGTCTGTATCACACACATGTTGCCCCCATGCGTGTGTGTCTGTGTTTGTGTATCAGTGAGAGGATTACTGTGTAGTGCTGTGGTGTGGAATTGAAGGGGTTAAACAGATGTACACACAGACCACTGCACAGTATCAGAGTTTTAAATTAGTTCTGACATATGCTGAACGTCAGTGCACATATACGTTTTAAAAACTGGCATTATAGTTGCTACAATGGACTTTATCACAAGTTCTTTAAGGTAAAGTTCTTTAATGGTCCCCATGCAGAACATTAAAAAGGACCAACAAGCAGGCAGTCAAATAAAATGTTCTTTAATGACTTAGAGAAAAATACAGAACAAAAGGCTCTGCAGGAACATGCAGAACTCTCAAGTGTCTCGCAGAGTTTCCAGAAAGGGAGCAAGGAAACCAGGAAAGCAAAATAACCAGGAATAAACAGGTAGATCACATGATGATATGGAAAAGATTGACGGAAAACACGCAGATTACACACTAGGGAGAATGTTAATAAGGCTCAGGTGAACTGAATCAGACGCTAAAGTGGGTGTGAAGAGAACAAAGAGAGCACAGAAGCATGTGAAGGACTAACCTTTAAATTAAGAAAAAACAGAAAAGAATAAAGTCGCAGAGAAACAAGAAGACAAAGAGAGGCGAAACATGGAAAGCAGATATAAAAAGTAAAATACGAATCGAAACATGAGGGAAAAACCAATTACACTAAGGTTACAAGCTAAACTGTGGCAACTAAAAATACTTTAAATCCAGTGTGTTTCTGTTAATACTGTGTGACACTGTAAAAATTACTATAAGGCAAAGAAATAATAATACCTGATTTTTTTGTCTTCTTGAAAATAAATCCCAGTCTGTATTAAAAGGACAAAAACTAACAGCATTTTAGTCTTTGCATAAAGTACACATAATTAGCATTGCATACATAAACAACTGAAGTGGCATTGTGATAAAATCTACAAGCCTTTAGAAAACACTTTAGTAAACTATACAAACAGAAGAATAAAGATATAAATTATCACCAAACTAAAAGCAGAACTGGACACATTTAATCTTGTTGTTGTTTTAACTAAGTACGCGGGATTCTCGCTCAGTATACAAGCTGCCAGTTATGCTCTTTTTTTCTTTGCAGATCATTATCTATAAAACCTAATTTAGTATCTAAAATGTTTCTCTGACACGCCACCTCAGTGAATACTTTAAATTGCTTGTTACAAAAGATGCTATCTTACACTTATCAAACATGATGGCAATGCTGCATAGCTCTAAATCTTTACACTTACTAATCCCATTGTATCTCATAAAGCTACTTTGATACTAACAGATACTTACATGTGTGCCATGTAAGGGAAAACACTCCAGGCCCTGTAATTTTAGGGCAAAACCAACAGTGGATGACATAGCAAGTTATAATGAGTGTTTGTGGCTCTGGGCCAGTGCTTAAGTGAGGACATGTGTGTTTACGCATGCAGGAGTACAATTTTAGAAGCCAGGTGGGTGCATCTACACTTTGTCATGGTGCTATTGTAAAGCATCTAAATGTGGGGGTGCTTTTAAAGTGAAATTATCCACACAAGGGTCACACGTTTTCATAAGATCAGAAGCTGACACAAAAATGCCTGCCGTGGCGGGCTGTCATGTCATGTGCGCAGCGGGGAATAGAAGGAGACAGTGACTTGGACTCCAGTTGACAATGGAGATAGACTGGGACCAATAATCCCAGAGGAGAGGTGGAGAGAAAGAGAAAGAGGGAGAGAGAGAGAGAGAGAGCGACACCCACGCAAGGCCAGGTAGGGAGGCTATAAAAGCACTGCCTAAATTTACTGAAACATGCACTTAGTGTCAGCCTGGGTGTGAGTGAGGATTTGACACACCCACCCACACAAACACACACACACACACACATATATATATCTATATGTCTGCGAATCATTTGTACTACAACACCAAAATATGTGAACAAGCAGCTGAGGTAAGTGCAAATCTTCATTTATATTAAAAAAAAAGCATTTTGTTGCATGCATGCGCACGCTGCATATTGCGCTTTAAAGTTTTAATTAATGTTTGAATCACAACATAATAATAATTTCTCTTAACTGGAAAGAAAGAACACTATTATCAACAGATCAGTGGCTCAGCTTGTTAAAAGATTATGGAAATTTACTGAAAGTGACTTCAACTTTTAAGAACAAAGTAACCCAAATTAAAAAAAAATAATTATTTCAATGATTATGTTACATGCTTAGTTGATTCCTCTTATCATAGTCAACATGTACTTCGAGTAGAATATTATAATAATAATATAAACCATATCCTAAGATCATGACTGGTACACACAGCCCACTTTATCTCCATCACTGCACTGTTTCTGTTTCTTTTTGTTCCCTTATTTAATGGGAAATTGTGATTTTATAGATTAACTTTCTTGATACTTTTCCTCTTTCAGTGAAAGAATTTTGTAAAGCAGGTGACGCTCGACTAGCTGAAAAGATGCAGAAGTTGCAGAAGAGTTTGGGCTGTTTGTTCCTTCTCTGCTGCATCTGTTTGACTGAATGCCGGGTGCTGAAGTTTGTTGTAGCTGTAAGTTCCCCCATTTGTCGCCTCCCCCCCACAAGATGCTTGACAGCATTTCTTTGTTGAATCCTGTGATTATTATATAATCTGGAAGACACTTTGCTGTGCATGGTTACTGATTGCATTGTAGTTTTCCTGCCCGATCAGTATTATTGTTTTTGCACTTTTTTGTGTAACAAAGGATTACTTTGAGCCTAAACTCCAACAGTGTCTAGCATATCTCTCCCACACACTGCAGCTTTATACATAAACCTCTTTACATAACACCTTATTACCCAACTGAATGATTTAAGAAAAAGAAATCACACTGTTCTTATGATTTGGCGTTTCATATTTTTTATTTTTTTGTATCCTTTAAAAAAAAACTTGTATGTGTATGTTGCTTAAGTACCTTGGGACAGCATACAATAAAATTATATATCTGCTACATAACTATTACGGCTTAACCAACTGCTTGACAGTAAAAGTGTGTTATCAGCTAAATCCACTATACAGCTCCACTGAATTTCATTGAGTTTAGATTCACAAATCTTTAGGTTTTTTTTTTTGGAAACTATTATTTTTAGTTATTGATTTAATTACTTTACATACATAAAAAAAAATCTCATGTTGTTGTGCAGCAATTATATTCAAAAGCCTTTGGATCTTTGCTGACTTGTGCTTGTGTTATTGTGTTATTTTTATGACGTGTTTCACTCGAGTGGTTTGTAAAATTACTGTGGGATCAACAAGAGTGAATCAGATGTGTGCACAATCCCGTTAATTCAACCTTTCTGTTATGTCACGGCTCAGAAAGTGAGCTGTCAGGTAATAACACTAATGCAACAGTTCTAACGATTGTGCCTTGATGACATCATCAGAATGACACTTGTGCCTCAAATCCTGCCCACGCTGTCCACAGTCACAGATCTCTATTTATTACCTCTGTCTCAGGGTGATAATCTTGTTTAAGTGTGCAGTGTAATGCTAACACAGCAGCACGGCATCATGTGACAATATCTGTTTTGCTGCTCAGGTGTTCCGGCACGGAGATCGATCACCTATTGAGTCATATCCCAGGGATCCATATGGGGAGGAAGTGTGGGCTCAGGGTTTCGGACAGTTGACTGAGGTACTTGATTTGTCATTGACATTTTGTTTTGTTGTTAACAAAACACGTGAAGAGATTTTGGTTGTATAAACTGAATTGTCTAATAGTTTTTCTCTAGCTCTTGTTTTACACAAAATCATTTGGGCTGTGGTACGGAGGCCCTAAAGTGCAGAAGAAACGAAAATTGTAGAAATTACAATACAGCATTTTAGAAAAGAGAAGAATAAAACAAAATACATAATAACAGCATAGCAAGAAACAAACAACAAAACAGTCAAAGCTGTTATTTATCTTAACAAACAAATTAGAAAATAACACCAAGAGGAAAAAAAATTAAGTTACACAACAGAACACAAGAATATTACATAAACCTTTTTTTTTAAAAAAAACCCAAAAAACCCCACTGACATTTAAAATTAATAACAAAACAGAAAATTACATTTCAGTAGTTTACAAAATATGTCCTTTCTAAATGTTTCTAGTTTTCTCTTTAATGTTATTTTGTTTTGCGCTTTAAGGCCACCATACTTGAACTGGGGTGACACACAGTTCACTAAAATATAGGTGAAAAAGTCAAACAAAAGAAAAACAATAATAGAGACCTTATGCTTATAATTTGACAAGAAATTCATAAACAGGAGGATCACAGGCTTAACACAATGAATGCATCACTGTACTTCAAAAACTGCTGAATTCATTTACTTAAGATCTTTCACTATAAAATACACTTTTAACAGACTTCGGGCTTTAATTAAATTCCTTCCTCCTGTGACTTTGCTCTGTTGTCGGGCAATTAGCTGCTTTACAGTGTATAAACTCATTATTTTGTCTTTGAGAAACACTGGTAACAGGGTAAAAGTTGCTTATCTATGTAAAAAGGTTGATTAGGACCATAAATCTGCAGCGTTTTCAGTCAAAAGGTCAAATTCTGCTAAAAATGTAAAATGCTGGCAATTTTCCTTCCAGCTGGGCATGAAACAGCAGTTTGAACTGGGCCGGTTTCTAAGGAGGCGTTACGGAAATTTCCTCAGTGAAGACTATAACAGCAAAGAGGTAGGTGTATCTGTGTATGCAAACACATATGCGTGTTAATTGCTGTTTCCTTCCCCATCTTTGTTTAGGTGAACTCTGTTGTGAGCTTCCTAAGCCTCTTGTCATGCGTGCCCTGTAAAATCAAGTGCGCGTACGAGCAGTCACCATCTGTCACGTCTGTAAAAACATACAATAAGTTAATGAGCCTGACTCATTTTGGTGAACTCACTGTCATGACCGTGCAGTGTGCTAAACATGGGAGGGTAATGTAGCCCGTGGGCTTCATGTAAAGTACAGCTGTCAGCAAATATGCAGCTTCTGTGTGCTGGATCCTAAACACACTGACATATAAGAGATTTGTAATTTCTTTTTTGCCTCTGCTTTGTTATACTCGTTACCTTCCTTTTTCTCTTGCTTTAAGTGCTCGTCTTTCTCTCTTAAATAAAACACAATTACCACAACTAATGACAGCTGTTCTCAGAACATATCACTGACAATCTCTTGCCTAAATCTCAGTGAACTTGTGCCATACCTTTTCACGTGTTGCCATGTCTGTTTTACGTTCACAAAAGGGGGGCAAAACAGAAGCACTCCTGGTATCACAAGAACATCCAACCTTATCTGCTTGATTTACGATGTGTAAAAACCTGATAGAGAGTGACAGAGAGCTATAGAAGAGGGAAGACTGATGTCAGAAGAGATCGCAGCAAGACAGATTGTCCCCCCCTCCCCTTTCCTTCTCATTCATTTGACTCTTCTATGACTCTTTGGGTTAAGGAAGTACCTCAGTTGACTTGGAATGACTACTGCTTGCAAAAATAAAGGGAAAAACTTTAATGAGATTTCTAAATGTAGAAAAGAAACGTAAGCCTCATTTACCCCAGAACACAGCACATAGTCGGATCAGTGAAACCACTCCAGTACCAGCATATGAATGCTTTTTAATGCCATGTACTCTCTGTGATTACAACAGATATATGTGCGGAGTACTGACTACGACCGCACTCTGATGAGTGCCCAGGCTTGCCTTGCTGGGATGTTCCCCCAAACCAGACCCATCATGCCCCAGTTACTGTGGCGGCCTATTCCAGTGCACACCATCCCCAGAGCCCTCGACAAGGTGGGCTGCTGAGCCACATAAATATTTTCTTTTCACAGCAGCAGCCACGCAAAGCTGATTACAAAATTGTATAAATTATTTTGGGCTTTTCTCTGTAGCTCCATGCGGCCATCTGTGTGCATCCCAGCTGTGATTCCCCACAGTGTTAAAGTGTGAAATGTGCATACATTTGTGCCCACGAGAAGTACCTCGAGTTAACGTTCATTATTTCCACTGATGTTTAACTGCTGTTTTAAAGTTGCTGAGGTCTCCAGGTAAAGACTGTCCAAGGTTCAGCGCTATGATGACGGAGACCTTCGAGAGTCATCCCTACCAGAAGTTCCTTAAAGCTCACCAGGTAAGACAAAGGCCGTCTCCACACAGCCAGACAGACCTCTAAATACACTGTTCTGTAGCCCATCAGCATCTGTTCAGTGACGTGAATGCTCACAGCCCAGTTTGTGTTCAGCATATCTTTTCCGTGAGTCATGTGCCTGCTAACCAGTGAAAACTTGTTTGTAACCCCGTTGTTTAATATCATCAGGCTTACACAATCCAAATTGCTGCAAACAAAATTGTTTCCTTACCTCAGCCTCTCCTGGTCTGCTTATCCCGGCCCTAATTTATAAATTAACTCACATGCTGAAATGCCTATTTCAGTAAGTATATACTTCACAGTTGTTGATGTCAACGTAATCAGCACCTCTAGTAGACGTGTTTGTTATGCTGAAGACATCATGTCCTCTCAGTGATTTTCTCAGGCACGGTGACTCCAGTGCCTACGAAAAGCTGCACAGTGCAATTTCTCTCACATTCTCAGAGACACTAATTAACGGTTAGATTGAATTAGATTAAGAATTACAATAAAATGGTTTTAATTAAATGGAGTCCCACGTGCGGCCTATTAGGGTGATGTTTGAGATCAGGCCAGGGCATCCTGCATTGAATTTTAACACCCTCTGCTGGAGGCAGAGTACCTGCAAGGTATATACACGAACCAAACTGGTGCCACGTATCACCGTGTTATCTGACCAAAGGTTAAACTTACAGTCATCGCCACATTAATGAACTACTAATGCTAATTTATGCAATTTTTGATTATAAACCCCTAAAATAGATATCTAATCAGTGTGCCTGGACAAATATCCATAAATAAATGGAATGTTACTCATAAAAATGGTAATTAAACTGTTGTGTTCCCTTGAGCCTTATTATTTAAAGAGTTTAAACTGATGTCCTTATTCTTTTCTTCCCTGTGCAGTACTTTGTGGAGGCTCTCTCTAACCACACTGGCTACCCCGTGTCCAAGCTGGTTGGTAAAAAAATATGGAGGGTCCACGACACTCTTAACTGTGAGGTATACTTTAAAGCAAGCCCACAAATATTTCTGCTACCTGTATTATGCACATTACAAGCTGCTACAAAACCCAGATGCAGAGAAGTGACAGAAAAAAACACAAAAAAGGAACAATAATGTGCTTTCGTCAAAGTATCTCCAGAGAAATAGAGCGAGGGTAGGAGTGCGGGGAAATCACTTTATACATACAGTAAAAGACGAATGGGGCAACATATTGAAATGATAATTAAAGCATAATGAGATGGGTGGATTCTAGGCCAGGTTGAATATGTTCATTCAAACTTGCAAAATGAGCATCTGTTATCTTCAGACTGGTGCTAAAAATAGACGGGATAATAGAAACTATAAAGTATGGCCATTTAAACCTCGTTTGCTGCCATGTTGTATAATGTGATTATTAGCGTAAGGCAGTGCCGTAATGAACATTCTTCTCTTTTGCAGAGGATTCATAACTTGACTCTGCCACGCTGGGCCACCCAAGAGGTCTTGGACACCCTGAAGAGAATAGCTTCCTTTGAGGTCATGTACAGCATCCTCAGTCACAAGCGAAAAGAGAAGGCCAGGCTCTCGGGAGGTGGGAATTCACATTAGAGGCAATTAATTTAGAGCACTCAAGAGGAAAAAAAAAAAGAAGAAGCTCTGTTTATCTCATGTGACTGCTGGCCGAAGCTTTGTTTATTAGCACATATGAGCTAATGGGACAAAGATGATTACAGGGCCAAGACAGGATGCTCAATAAGGTCAAAAGGATTGTCTTGGTATGTGAGAAAAATTAATTTGCACTGTTGACATTGTGGTAATTCTCCAGGGGTCCTGCTGAATGCCATCCTGAGGAATTTCTCTAAGGCTGTAGAGCAAGGGAGCACTCTCAAATTCATTATGTACTCAGCTGTAAGTGCATTGCTTGTGTACGAGCACACATTTATAATCTGCTGTGTAAACTGCTGCTTGATGTACTGTATCTCCTCGCCTTCTTATTGCTGTGGTGCTTGTTCCTCGTTCCAGCATGACTCTACACTCATCACCCTCCAGGCAGCTCTGGACGTGTATAACGGGCTTCTTCCTCCTTACGCTGCCTGTCAACTCTTTGAGTTCTACCAGGAGCATGATGGGTAATGACTTCCTTCCAGTTTTATTTCCTGCACTATTCTCTTTTGCATATTCAAGCACACTATGTAGGTCAGATGCCCACCACATTTTGAGGTATCGCGTTTTTCTGTTTGGATGCACCGAGCAAATACCTTTCCTTTGCGATCTGAGGAAATTTGGCAGCTGCCCAGGGCTGCAGATGTGAAAGCATCACATAATACAAATACATTTGCATAACACTTACAGATGTGTGTCCTCTCATTGGATTCGTCCTAATAATTACCCAGATCCTATTCTGTGGAGCTGCACTACCACAATGACTCTCGGAACAACCCCTACCCCAACCCTGTGCCAGGATGTAACGGGTTGAGCCCTTGTCCTTTATCCTTGTTTAATGAGCTGGTGAAGGACGTACTGGCAGATGACTGGCAGGCCGAGTGTGGGTTTAAGACAAAATGGTCAAGCACAGGTGAACAAGATAAAGTTTATAATCTGTGTCTATGTCTGTATTTGGTGTTGCCACCAGGTTTCTCTGCAACATGTTTATTATTATTGGGGGGGGGGGGGGGGGGGGGGGCTTGTCTGGGATTATTCAGAACACACTGCCTCATTTAAACATATCAAGGCTTTTGGATATTTACCATGTATAGCTAAACAGTTGTTGTCTCCCACAGGTACCATAACAGCTCTTGCAGTGGCTGTGGGACTCCTGGCGGTGGCGCTGTTATTCAGTATAGGGGTGATAATCCTCAGGCGGAGAGGACAGTACTCCAGGGAAGTGTAGCAGAGATGATTGACACACTTGTACCATGAAATATATAAATATAAAAGTGCTTCCCAACTAATGTTCACTGTAATATGATCGTGATAGTTATTGTGTGCTTGAGCAGATTTGAGCCTTCATAAAGAATACACAATATACATAAATAATCATGAAATAATTTTTTAACAGACATAAAATGTAATCAGAATAAACAACTTTTACAGCAAGGATCACTATATTTTATTTGATTCAATCTTGACAGTGTGCTCTCCTCATTGTGACGTCCACTGCTTACATTCACTGTTTGGCTCATAATTTGAATTTCATATTCGTTGCTGTCCAGTTTCTCACTTCTCTGGCTCTTTGTAAACTGTGAAAGAACAAGAGAGATAGTGGTTGTCAGCTTTTGTTAGATTGGAGTCCAAGTGTGATGGCAATCATTGTTTTGTTGTAAAGTGTTTAGCAGAACCATCAAGACTCATCCTGTCCTAAAATAACCAAACTTCCTCCTGTTCCTTCATCTGTCCTCCTCTACCCGCTCAGACGGTTGCCCAGTGTTCTTACCTCGGACATCAAGTGTGCACTCCACTTCATCCTTGCCCAGTTCATTGACAGCCATGCAAGAGTATTTCCCTCCATCAAAGGTGCTGGGCTTTCGAATGTTGAGGGTCAGAACTCCTTGATTGTTCTGCATCAAGTACTTGGGATCCTCCCCAATAATCATCTTGTTCTTCATCCAGACAATCTTAGGCTAAGATTTGAACAAGCTGAGTTAAGAAAGCTAAAGCTAAAACTTCTTGGCCAATTAGTGGACTCAATTTTTAACATGTGCTTTTACCTTAGGAAAGCCTTTGACAGCACAGCTGATAGCAGTGCTGTAACCAGCCACAACACTTCTATCCACCAGCGGCTGAGTAAACTTGGGAGAGCAGCACATGTCTTTCTCCTTGTAGGGCTTTGATTTGAGTTCCAAGCCTTCAGAAGAGGGTGGGAGGTAAATCAGGGAAAAAAAGGTTGCAAAAATCAGAAATGAACTGTATGAACTTAAACATGCAGCTCACATGTTTAAAAAGAACAACAAAAGTACAACTTTGCCACTAAAAATATAAAGTACTTCTTTGAATTATATGCAGCATGAATATATGAAATCAAAAGTTTACTTATTTATTAAATAGAAAATCATTAAGGATAATATGGTTGGTATAAACTGAATATACACCAATCAACTAAAGACCAAACACCATTGGAATAAACGTCACTGTACTTATAACTTGGCTAACTCAGATGTATTTAGATGACTTAAAATCAGCATTTTAGGCCTAAATATGTGTTCAACTGCATGTAAATATTGGAAACACTGTCATACCTGTTTTGCCAATCACAGCCGTGTTCTTGCTCATGCGCGGCTCCTCGCTCAGGCCACAGAGATTTTCGCTGTAGATGCGGAACATGTATTCGTTGCCCATGACCAGATCCGAAACTGTGCAGTTTGTTCGTCTATTGTGCTCATAAACAGTGAACCATTCCTAGAAAGAGAAAAGAAGTGATAATATTATATTAAACCACAAAAATCCCCCACAAATCTAGCATGGAGAACAAACCAAGTGTTGGTAGCTAATGTTAGCAAACCCAAGATTCAGATTTGGCTCCTTCTCTGATGCAAAGACGACAAGAGTAAGCAGGATTGGCCAGAACAAATCAGTGAATCAGATAAATAGCATGTTATTCTGTAATTCTCCATAAAGCACAAATAAATATGCTTTTGTGCGAATGCAGCCAAAGCACACACTTCATCCTGTCAGCTGTGATCTCTCTGCTTTGAATGCATGAAGCAGGTTGGTCAAACAGACTCGCAAGACCTGCAGCTCTTCATAAATCCACTAAGCTATAAACTGTTTATATAAACAGATGTCTGCATAATCTGTAGGCAGGGGCCAAGATTTCTGGTTTGCTTGTATATCACGTTCTGTTGACCAATCACGCTTGAGCAGGCTTTGGCAGCATGCCGATAAAACGGTCTATGTGGAGAACAAAAGAAAGGCCGCATTTGTTAAAAGGTTTTATTTTAACTTGGAGTTAGGAATAATCCTTGATTGCAAAAGTTAAAAATTAAGTTAAACAGTATATAACAAATAGCTTAAATAAGCAGAATGATATGTAGCACAATAAAATAGAATAGACCATGCCAAAAGAAACTAATCTGAAACCACAGTAGATACAACAAAGTTAAATAAAAACGTGAATAAAGTAAGAAAGCAGTGTCCCTGCAGGTAAAGTGAGTCATGAGCAATGATTCAGAGAGATAACGTCCTACGTAGTATACAGGTCCTCGCTGGACATCTTGGCAGGTGACTGTGGCGCTGACGAAGACTGAAAACACCCCCATTTCCCTTTCTCACCTTGGTCTTCATGTCTGCCTTCTGGATAGTGTATCCAGAAATATCACAGTTGCCATCATCCTTGGGGGGGTCCCACTCAAGTGCTGCATTGAAGCCCCAGACGTCAGTCGCCTTCACATTCAAAGGTGGCCCAGGCTTGTCTGTTTGGGGTTAAACTTCTATTAGTGTAAGCTTCTAAACTCTGATGAATATTGCATCATCTCGTGTGCCATTTCTTTGATTTAATAATGAGTGAAAATGTAAAATGGGCTGGGCTAAGTCGTCTAGAGTCCTGGGAGTCATACCAACAATCCTGATGTTAATGCTGGCCCTGTCCTCCATGTTCTCAATCTTCAGAACCAGCTCATATGTTCCAGAGTGCTCTCTCTCTGCTGAGCGAATGAACAGGATGCTGTCCACGTTTGAGTTACGCACGTTGACCATCTTCTCGTCAAGCGGTTTGCCATCCTTGAACCAGTTTGCGATGGGGCGTGGCTTGCCCTGTGGTGCAAAAACATAATCAAGTTTTATGACTTAAAAAAATGTAGCTTCAGGTTGTTTTTTTTTCTTCATACTTTCAATACTCAAATTATTAAAACGATGCACAAAGCAAAAAAACAAACAAACTAAAAAACTAGGTTTTGTTTTCTAAAGTAAGCTCCTAATTTATTATTCTAATGCTTTTTAGAACATAAGAAAAAAACTAAATTTGGTTTCAGCGGCTGCTCTCACTAAGATATCACTGTTACTGATATCTTAGTGATATCTGATTAGTGCACAGAAACTCATCCTTTCTAACCTGGAAGGGGATAGTCAGGTTGATCTTCTCTCCCACTTTCCTGATGTACTTTGTTCTCAGGTCACGAGGAAGGCGGATCTTTGGATGTTCTGAAGAAGAAACAGACATCCTGTTTAAACTTCTTATCATAACATGAGTATGAGTATGAGTCTCTGTGGTCAACACAAAGAAAAACTATGCTACATCCAAATGTGCTATTTACATTTATACTTGCTCACTTTATTTGGCTGTGAATCTGACTCACTCACCGACGATCTCACGGATGGTGACGGGCTGTGACATTATAGCAGGAGGACTGCGCCCGGCAATGTTTACTGCCACCACCCTAAAGTTGATCTTCTCTCCCACCGGGAGGCCGCGCACCACAAATCCCTGTCTCTCGCACAGCTCCTGGTTTGCCACCACCCACTCAGTGTCTACGTTAAAAGAAAACTTCATGTATTAAATTAAACTAAGTGTGATCTGTGTCTCTTTCTTTTTTTCATTCATTCAGCTGTTTTCATTTATTACACGTAAATATACGGCATTATCACCTCCTTCCTTGCAGTATTCAATAACGTAGCCGTCGAGGCCCCCAGCTCCAATCTTCTCTGGGGCGAGCCACTTCAAGCTGCAAGTGCTGTCTGTCACATCGTGGACTGTCAGACGCGTTGGCTCGCTTGTTGGGGCTGAGGATGACAGGAAAGGAGACTCAAGAGAATCAGTGACTGGCTTCACTGAGCAAAGGAGGGACAGGGAGTTGCTGAGAAAGAGGACGTAAGGACGACTGTGAAACGTACCAATAGGCATGAACGGTTTGGAGCTGAGACTTGGCTGAGACATGCCAATGCTGTTGACAGCGAACACCCTCATCTCATACAGAACACCTTCAATCATCCTCTTAGCCTCGTATGTGGTTGATTCGTACACGTCAAAGTTGAGCTTTGTCCATCTGGAAGAGCCTTTCTTCTTCCTCTCCATGAGATAACCTGGTGGAGTAATAATGCAGTTACATGAACAGGTTGAATAATAATTTTGTTTTCCTTAAACAAATTAATGTAATGCATGCTCCACCTTTAACTGGTGCACCGCCATCAAATTTAGGAGGGTCCCAAATAATGGAGGCGCAGTCCTCTCCCACTCCTGTGCACTTGATATTCTCAGGGGGGTCGGGCACATCTGATAAAAAGATTGTAGTTTATTTAAATACAACAGAGAAGACAGGTCAAACTGGTATTTGCAAAAAAACATCCCTTTTCTGCTGCCCACTATGAGGGGAAACCAGCTGATGTTATCCTGTAAAACCTTCACTTACCCACAATCTTCAGAAACAGCACAGCCTTGTCCTCTCCGGCAGGGTTGGCGACAGTGATGGAGTAGTTGCCCTCATCGTCTCTCTCCGCCCCCTCTATGACAAAGCAGCTGAGGTCTTTCCTGGACTCCACCCTTACACGTCCTTCAGTGTCTGTGATTGGCTAATACACGATATTAAAGCAGTTAAAACATGCCTAACAATTAGGGTTTACTTGTAACTTAAAGTTGGGCTAATGGAGATTAGAGTAGGGGTATCAAACATAAGGCTTCGGGGCCAGAATAAACCCACTCACATATCTAAACCAGCTGAAGGCAAAATCTTCTGGCTGTTCATTGTTTTTTGCACGAGGAAATATTGTGTTGCAAGTCTTTAAGAGTGGATCACATCATGGGAAGGGGCTGTCTGTGAACTGTTAATTTTATCCAAGCCAGAGGTCTGAATCATCCTCTGTTTTACAGCCAAGGACATTACTCAGGGCCTGCAGTACCACACTGAAGTGAGGCGGTTAAGCCAAAGAGCTGTGCCAGTGCTTTTCATAAAGTTACAGCAGTAGTGTTTCTTTGTAATAAGACAGAAGACAGAGCAGGAAAAAACTGAGGCATGGCGTATTTATGAAGCTGCACTTCTTTT